ATTACTGCTTTATGTTGACAGCTCTCTGAGCAGTTTTTATTCCAAACATTCACGAGGCCAAGGAGTCCTCGTGATGCATTGGCATGAAGGGCTCTTGTGGCAAAAAGAAGAGGCACTTGGACGACATAAGAGGAGAGAAACGAGAATGATCCTTGGCTGTGGGATGTGTCTGTGAGCTCGATGTGAGTGAGAGGCCTCTCCAGTTCACAGCATCCTTAGCACCAAGGACAAAAGCCCAGCCCCCACGGGAGGGCTTTGCTTGATATGGACCCCTCCCCCTCTCCCCTGCCCACTGGCAAGCTCACATCTGCTTTGACTGGTCCACAGAGGGTTTGAACTCTGAACAGGCGGGCTTATCCTGTTGCAGGAGGTGTTGCTTTGTGGACTAAGGGGCATATTCCCAGAAATAAACCACCACATTCTGGAATGTGCAGAACTAGCGCATCTCTGTAGACCTAGCTCATGAGAACCACTTGTGAAATTTTCAAGAATTTTGCAAATGGATTGTTAAAAACCTGGCAACTTCAAAAGTTCATGGAAAACAGAGCATACGAGTTTATTTTTGGTGCAAAAACTTCTGAAATCCATGCATAAATTTTTTGTTTATAATACACATTTTCCATGAACCTTTTGAAGACTCCCTCATGGTTGGTAGCTTTAAATTAGCTGTGGTGAAATACTGGGTCTCAGAAAAGTCATGACATATTTTTCTAGGCTTTTCTATGAAAAAAATGCATCATGACTTTTCCAACAACCTCATAGTTACACCGCAGAAATTTGTACTATACAAACGTTTTCCAAAGGAGGCAGGTGGGCCTTTTTTCTTTGAAGAGCAGCTGTTAGGCACCCATCTGCATATCACAGAATAACACCTCCCTCTTGTCCTCAGCGTCCACTTCCTCCAATATCCTTTTCATCTACCTCCCCAAATCAAGACCCATTCATGATTCTCACCCCTTAGATCATGAACCAGAACCAGATAGAGCAGTTAGAGCAGGTTACAGGGAGAGCAGCTCGCCAAGGCAGGAAGAAGCAGTGTGTTTTCTGGGAGCAATTCAAAAGCATTCCCAGAAAGGCCTCAGGGCTCAGGCCTCTCTGCAAAAAGTTAGGAAGGAAACGCCCATGCATCGTAAGAGCCAAGGACCAAGGCTGGCCTTCAGAGATCTGAGAGATACACACCAGGCCTCCTTACTCGAATGTCCCATGATGGCACCATCACACAGAGGATGGCACTGCTAGGGCGCCATCCTGGGACCTGGTGCCACAGCAGCCTCTGTTCTGTGAGCTCGATTCTCGGGAATGGGTTGAGGGCCAGGCAGCAAGCTCTGGGCTTTGTTCTCGAGGAAATGGAAAAATCCCTGTCACCGATGGTGAAAGAGTAGGCCTCCCTAGCTCCCCTAATAAAGGCCATTGTAGACATAAGCTACCTGGAAAAAGATGGACACTACCTCCTCCCCTCCAACCACAAGTCTCGTGCACAGCGATGGTGTGTGCTCCCTGCATTCCTGGAATATAGTTTGGAAAGCTTTATAATCATCATTTTTAAAGCAAATTAGATTTTGCTGTTGCCTTGGACTTGTTTTGAACCAGGCAGCCAAACCATTCATCACAGCCCAACCCAAATAATAGATATGCAATAAAATGTAAACGCAGCCATCGAGGAAGCCACAAAATGAGTTAACCCAGCCATAAAGGCCTGACATGCAGTCACTTGGAGCTTGTGGGGAATCAATGGTTTTTCAAAGTCATAGGAAATCTGACTAAATTCCCATAGCTCTGGGAAGAGATTTATGGCTCAGTGGATTTTAAATGGGTAATTGAAATGAGATGTATAGGTACAACTTATTACCAGCTATCGATGGGCCTTACAGAAATCTCACTAAAACCCAGAAAGTAATATCTCAGACATTTCAGCAACAACATTTTAGATTTAATTTTTAAAACTGGAGCTGATGGGCTGGCAGAGGTGAAGACTTTAAAAATGTTATTTCCTGGCCCAGCCTAGACCGTACAGTCCGCAGCGTACTGGACTGTGGTGCTGGAATCCATATGGCTGGCCACGGGTTCAGGTCAGCCTGAATACATGCCAGGCGTGCATGGATATCCAAACTCCTGAGGAGCTAGAAGACGGGGGAAGCAGGACCAGGGGGTGACCAGGCTGTGTCAAGAGTGCTTTGACTCTTTCTCTCTCTCTTTCTCTTGTGATCACATACGGTCAGAAAAGTGTATTTCCTGGCCTCTTTGGCCAGGTGGAGTGGGATCTGTGGGTGACTCCAGCTCGGTATTCTTCCCGAGCAGACACAGCTGCTCCGCTAAAGGATGATGGGTCTGGGGGCATCTCCCTGGAGAAGTAAGTCGTATATACTAGTTTTCCAGGTTGAGGGTTTGTCCTAAATCATGTCTTCCCGGGTGGCCAGCCCAGCCCTCTCCGGACAGGTGTTCACCACAGCGTGCAGCTGCCTGAGAGCCATGCCAGGAATCCCATGACTCAGGGCTGCCTCTGCTCTGTGGGACTGGTTCATGATGGGGCTGTCCATCCTTCCTGGCTGAGAGGAGCAGGGGACCCTCCTCCAGGGCAGGAGGGGGCAAAGGGCAGGACTTAGCCACAGGAGTGAGTTTGCTCTCTTTCTGTCAGATGGAGATCAGACTCCCACAGTGACAGAAATGCAGTAAATGGTGGCCCCCTTCTCTTCCTCCATTAACCAACTAAACATTCAAGTGGCTTTTTACTTCCCCAATCAAAGGCTGAACTAGGATCTAAAGGCACAGGGTCTTCTCGGCACATGCCCTCCACTGTCCCTTCTCCAGCTCCCCTACAAGGAGCAGAGCCATCTGTCCCTGCTGTGGAACAGACCCAGGCTCCAGAGTCACCGGTAAGCAGAGCGTCAGCTGGCCAGCCCTGTCTAAATTCATCTAAAAGCAGCTTATCTAAGAAGCTTCTCAATAATGCATATGTTTTGCACGTTTCTGAATACTCAGGTTGGGATCATGGGGAAAATATGTTGCCTAAATGAGGATATTTTTCTCTCACTTTAAATTCATTACAGTTCCTTCTGCTTTTTAGAAAGATACTTGTCCTTTTAATTAATCCTATGAGAGCAACACCAGCGGACGTGTCGGATGCAGGAGAAGGTTTGCAGAGCCAGCAGGGCAGGATAAAGGGCTTCCCATGTTAACATTCTGGGATTCCAAGCACACAAGGTCAGGGGGTCCTCGGGCACCCACTGCCGGTGTAGGAGTTGGACACCCTCCCTCACCTCTGGCGCTCTGAGCTCTAGGCAAACAGACGGGAAAACAGGGTTCCAAGCTGGTTATTAAACTACCGCTGCAGCCAGGGCCACTCTGAAACAGGTGAGATGGTCACCTGGCAAGCCCACAGCTGTCCTGCCAGCGTCACTGCAGAACGAGAGAATGGCACGCTTCACTTTCCACGCCTTTGTCCTCTGGAATGAATGATGCCTGGCGCCGTAGCAGACCCCCACACACGTCGTCTCCACCACATCTCACACCCACCCTGTGTTGAGCAGAGTGGCAAAATGAACAAGACAGGCCACTCACTGCCCACACCCACCTGGCGCTTCGTCCATGCAGGGTGAGCTCAGACCCGGGATCTAGATGGCAAAGATACTACTTTACCCCAGTCCACGTGGTTCCTGAGTCCAGACAGTGAGCAGCAACATTTCAGATAGCAAGGGGTTTGCCAAGTTGGGGAGGTTTTTTAGAGAGGTTT